GCTTATATTGGGTTTATAGGGTTTAGGCTTTATAGGGCTTAGGACTACGATGCGGCCCAACATTTGTGCAAACAAGATAAATTCTGTTGCTAAGGATCGCAGCGCGGACAGGAGGATGACAGTGATGGTGACGTTGATGGTGATGCTGATGCTGATGATAATGACGGGTCATAGATAATGGCACCACTACTACTACTACTACGACGACGACTACTTCTAATAGTACTAGTACTAGTACTTACTAGTGACGGCGACGACAAAAAGGATGATGGACAAGACATGCGCCCGAAACCAGCCAGGCTTCCGCAGCAGCTGTGTGCATTCTGCTTGCATGGGTAGTTGTCGAAAGCTGGGTTCGGTACTATTTTGGGGCTTCGGGTTTAGGGTCTAGAGTTCCGAAAAAGGGACCATAGTTTCGAGAACTACCCACATAGCTAACAGCGATGTCTTGTGGAAGATTGTCAGAACCTTAGGCCCTAAGCTCTAAATCGTCTGTCTTCCCATGGCGTCCTGCACTTGCCAGAACATGATCTGCTTGTCCCGTGTATAATGGCCGCGTGCACTTTCGTCCACGAAGCTTCGCTGCCACCTTGTGCGACTGCGCTTAGCGTTTGGAATTTAGGGTTCAAGCTGTAAGGTATAGGAAGACTTATAAAGGTTGCATGTAATGCAACGCTCTGCATGTGGCTACGAATCTGCGGAATCTGCCGTCTAAGCATCATGAGTGCTTGCAAGCTCGTTCGCTTGATTTGCTGCCAACACGCAGATTGCTGCGGCACGTGTCCAGACGAGCTCTTAACCCTAAGCCCGAAGCCATTAAACTCAAAACTCTACTGACTCTAACCGTAAAGCCTTAAACCACAGCCCTGAACCCAGACACTCAAACCCGTAAACTCGAAACTCTAAACCCTCAATCCCCTAACCAAAGCCATAAACCCTCAGACCCAAAACCCTTCAACCCTAAACCCTTAAACCCCAAACCCTTCAACCCCAAACCCCTAAATCCCAAACCCTTCAACCCTAAACCCTTAAGCCCGAAACCCTTCAACCCTAAACCCCTAAACTCTCAACTCTTAAACCCCAAACCCTTCAACCTTAAACCCCTACAAACCCTAAACCCTTAAACCCTAAACCCGTCAACCCTAAAATCCTGAACCCTAAAATCCTGAACGGTGGGTTCCTCGACCGTACGGCTTCTCAATCGGCACCCAATCACAACTCGACACTCAGAAGCTATGAACGCCTTAGCCTACCAAAACCTACTTTTTGTAGGGTCCCTATAAATTCTATGTTAGGGTTTTTAGTCAGAACCTGAACCTCCAAAAAAGTAGGCTTTGGTAGTTTAACGAATAGCTTACGGGCCTGACTGGTCGGGTGTATATGTTTACGGCGTGAGTGATCACTAGGCCAAGGCTAGTGTAGGGTTTAGGGTTTGGGCACAGCTAGCCCCCTCTTCAGCCTACTAGCAAAGTCTCCTTCAATTGCCCCTCAGGCCCCAAGAAACCCATGTAATGTAATGTAATGTAATGTAATGTAATGTAATGTAATGTAATGTAATGTAATGTTATGTAATGTTATGTAATGTTATGTAATGTTATGTAATGTAATGTAATGTAATGTAGTGTAGCAAATCTCCTGAC